GAGATATGGAGTAGCACTTGAAGGATGAAGAACTATATGAAGAGAAAAGGGGTTCTTTTCTCTAAGCCCACTCCTTGGCCCCCAGACACACTCAGTGAAAGGTCAGGTTCATTGCGTGAGAGAGGGGAAGGATGCTGGGTCTGCTCTCTTAGCCATCACTGTGTGTGTCCTGCTCTCTCCCTGCAGGGAAATCCCTCCATAGAGCGGGTCTCATTTGACCCAAAGACATCGTGTTCTAATTGATGGGAAATTGTCCACTGCTTGTCAGGTTATTGTTCATTTCCTGATCCTTAATGACTGATTTTCTACCAGTCAGCCTGGAGTCCCGTGCCCACAACCCTGAGGACAAGGCCTGAGTCTTTGCATCCCTGAAAGTGACTGCAGGAAGGCCTGCAAACATCTCTCAGGGCTCGGGGCACACGGCTGGCCTGGCACCAAGAAGGGCAACTCAGTCCCTCCTTCAGTCCTGGGACAGTTCCCCTCATTGCAGGGTCCTCTACTCAGGGCAATATGGTAAGCCGATGAGCCTCCCCCCCAGGAATAGAAGCCCCCCTTAAAAAGGGGGAGTCTGGAGAATGCCTTGAAGGTTCCTGGCACAGTTCATTAAGATATCAACCTTTAATGAAATATTTGTTTAAATCGTCATTTATCTTAGGGAGCAGGGGCCTTTGTGGTGAAGGAAAAGGCTGCCCCTTTCTACCCCTCCCCCACCTCCACCCAGCACAGATCCTGGGTCTTTCTGAGTCAGAAAGACTGGGAAGCAGGGTGGAGAGGAACAGCTGGCAGATATGGGGAGGGGAGAAGATTCCAGAATGGAGGAATCACAGGAGGAAGACAACTTGACTAAGCAGGAGGCAATAAAGGGGAGTAAAACAGAAAGTTCTAGAAGCACCCCACCACCACCACCCACTGCTATGTGACCACAATGGCCAAACATCAGAAACAGCCCAACTGTTCCATCGAGGGGAGGTTGGATCAAGAACCTGGGGCACACTGATACAGTAGATCGTTCTCCAGAAGCCTTTCAATTAATGACCTAGAGATACATTCAATAAATCTGAATTAATCCCAGCAACATGAAGTTGAGTAAAAAACACCACCAATAAAAAGAAAAAGCGAGGAGCAGAAGGTACTTTCATTTGAGATTTCAAGATGCCTAAGCAATACTAAGTGATTAAGAGTATAAAACTTACTTGGGAAGGCTACCTACCAACTTCAAGAAACTGCCTACCTCTAGAAGGGAAAGATTTCAGAAAACCAGAGGGAGAAGTATGGAAAAACCACAAGACCAGCAACCATTTTTAAGCTTTTTATTTTTAAATATAAAAAAAGGTGCACAAATCATAAGTGTACATACAGCCCAATTAATTTTCACAAAGTGAACACCCCTTGTAACCAAATTCCCAAAACACAGAACATTCCCAGACCCCCAGGAAACCCGTCATGCCCCTCCCAGTCACTCCCCCAACTAGAGTAGTCACTCTTCTGAGTTCTAATGTCATCAGTTTGACTGATTTTTGAATTTCAGATAAATGAAATCACACTGTGTGTTTTCTCTGGTGTCTGGCTTTTATGCTCAACATTCTGATTGTGAGATTTCTCTATGTTGCTGTGTGTGTGGCAGTGGTTTGTTCATTCTCACTGCCAAGTACTAGCTCAAGTATTCAAATACCATGATTTACTCACCTAATTCCAATATTGATGACTCATGAACAGGGCTGCTAAGAACATTCTAAGTGTATGTCTTTTGGTGAACACATATACGTATTTTTTTTTGTTGGTATATACTTAGAAGTGGAGCTGCTATATTATGCTGGTAAAGTTTTATTCCTTGTAACTAAAAAAAGGTTTTGAGGAGGGGAAAATATAAGATTCAAGTAGTCAGATGAATGGAAACAAAATATCTGTGCATAAAGGCGTTGGGACTGTGGGAATAAAGAGACTGTTTCTGAACACACATAGCCCCAGGCCTGAGTGCCAGGCTTGGTACTCAGAACAAGCTCACCTACTAACCTACCTCATTCCCATAGCAGGGAGGTAGCTGATCCTGGGAAGGAGCATTCTGAACAAGAAGATCTGGGAACAAGTCCTTGCTGTACCACCTCCTAGCTGTGTGACCTAGAGTTGCCTGTCCTCTGAGCCCTGAGTTCCTTACCTATAAAATGAAAAGAGCTGTCATGTTGAAGGGCACACAGATGAAGTGCTTGAAATATAGCAAACATTTAATAAATATTAACCTCAGTTGTATGCATGATTTGCAGTTTTGTGAGGTCGATATTCCTCATTTTTAGATGAGGAAACTGGAGCTCACAAAAGGCAAAATGAGCATTTATGGAAAGCACTACATGAACAGGTCACGGAGCTAGACTTTGATCATGCTTTTTCATGCTGTCCTCCCAACCACCCTAGGAAGCATCCTCCCAGTTTTGTAGATGAGGAAACTGAGGCTCAGACCTCATGGAACTTGCCCAGGTAACACAGCTGGTGAGAGAGGCTGCCTCAGTCCAGCCCCCTGTGCTCTTTAACCATGTCCTCCTAGGCCAGGCCATGGGCCCTGGTTCCTGCCACAGCCACAGCTCCTTGCCCTGGACCCTGTGAAGGAATAAGGACAGAAAGGGGACCCTCCTGCCTGTTCCCAGTCACTCTGCCTCAGGAGCCAAGGGCTAATCTTTTGAACCTGTTCACAGAGTTCCTGCACCAGAAGGAAGGCCTTTGGCTTGCCTGCTTTGATTTTGGGATGTTTGTTTTGTCTCTTTCTTTTTTGAAGCCTTGTTTTTTCACTAAAATGCCCTTTAGGTGAAGACGAGACAGGGTCTTTTGCCTCCCTTGGGCTCCCCCCCACCCTGACCCACTGTGAGTCACAGGGTGCTGGGAAGTGAGCTG